TTTTTTTTTTTTTTTTTTTTTTTTCCCCCAAATGCCAGCAGCCTCTGGCTTCATCCTGCATGCAAATATGTTAAGGCAAGGCCTCACCGTGACTCTGCTTGCTGAAGGTTGACTGTAAAACCAGGAAACAGGACAGGCAAGTGGAAGGGAAGCTGCTCAGTGCAGCTCTATTAAGGTGGTGGGGGAAACCGTCTAACTGAGCGCATGGGCGAGTTAAACCCTAGCCCTGATACCAGCATAACCTAGTGCACAGGGGCAAGGGATTGGGACTCTGGGGCATTGCCTCCCCCCACCGTGTGTTTTGCTGTCATATGAAGTGTGCCTCCCCCGCCAACACACACAGGGGGTGGAGGTTCTGCCTTAATGACTGTCAGTGCCTGGAGCAGAATTAGGGAGCAGGAAAGTCACCACTGTCCCACCTCAGTCACTTCCTGAGACTGGCAGAAATGCTGAACCCCCAGAGCAGGAGGCAGAAGCAGGGGTCTTGGGTTTCCAAGCACTTGCCCTCAGTGGCCCCCAAGACGCACTCTAAGACCATGCACTGTGAGATTGGGTCTGGAGATGGGCTGTTCTGGTCTCTTCAAGCTCTTGCCCCATGGTCAGGTTAAAAATCACTAATGGCAGATTAATAATTAGGCGAAGTTGGTAACTAGCCGTTGTAAATGTGCCATGCAGTACTGTTGCAGTTTGATCCTTTTTATGGTACTCTAATTTACACTCTTTTATAAGTCCAGCTCTGAAAGGGTCATTTGTATTCAGTACAAAGGTCAAGAACATCAAGCAGCGCAGCGTAGAATAAAACAGTCAAGAAGATGCTTGTTCCAAAATCTCCCTCTTCCTCCCAGTATTTTGTGCCAGGGGCCAGCATCTCCAGCAGGAGCTGATGTTGGGAAGTGCTGGCAGGTGCCAGTGGCACCTTTTAGTCTCCAAGTCAGATGATCACTGATAAACAGCCCTGGCTATCACGGAGCTTTGTAGCTTCTTCAAGCAGCACGGATTATTACGGTTGCTGCCCTGTTTGTACAATTTCCCCTTATCGGCATGTTGTTTGCTTGGATTCTGTGCTGAATGAAACCACGCAACCTCTACCCCGACCAAGCACTGTATTTAATCCATCTGCCTAATGAGGTGTTTGAATACTTCCCCATATGTTTGTGTGATTATAATGTGAAATTATCTTTATAGGGGTGTCGGTTGTAGCTGTGTTGCTCTAAGGACATAGGCAGACACGGTTCTTTGGGTAAATCCGATACCTTTATCAGCCTGCCAAAGGGTGTTTGTGCCCGAAAGCTCACTAAGATGAACCTTGTCTGTCAAATTATCTTTATAGCACTAAACTGCTGCTTTTCATTTACTGGGCACATCTACACATGCATTAATATGCCATAATTACAGCGCATTAAGTTTAGTACCTATAATAACAGGTGTTAACTTAATGCCCCATAATCAGAGCTACCGTGCAGTACTGCCAGCAGGGATGTATTTGGTAGCCATGTGGGTCCAAGACAAAAAAAAATGCAAAAATCTAAAACTCTTGGTTCATAGATGGTACCTTGCATTAGACCAACTGAGAAATTGCAAAAAAATGTATCTTTTTCTGCAAGCTTTTGGACTTGCATGCCCCTTCTCAGGCTCAGGGAAAGTTAAAGGTGGTAAAAAGTCCCCATAGGTAGGAAATAATCTTTATTTTTGCACAGAGGAAGAAGCTGGAAATCTGTTCCTCTGGGTCCATGAGAGTGCCTTTGTGGAGTTGCTCTTTGTTGTACAGATCAAGCAGGATTCCTTTCCTGTGGGCGTTGGATGGCAGACAGGGAAGTGTAGAAATCTTTCTTGTTGTTTAGCAGTGAAGTTTATGATCCAAAATTGGCTAAAATTTGGCACCTTCCATGTTTCAGGGATGTATTTGGCAGCCATGTTGGTGTGAGACAAAAAAAGTGCAAAAATCTAGAACTCTTGGTTCAGAGATGATACCTTTTATTAGACCAACTGAGAAATTGCAAAATAATTATCTTTTCCTGCACACACTTTTTAATGATGCATGGGTTTTGCCTGCCGTGCTAATGCACGTTAGAGTTAGTCTACTGTGCTTGTAGCATCTCATGCTCACAGTGTACAGTAAAGGATGCTGTAGCACTGGTTTTGGTCCTGATTCAAAGGAGGGTTTAACCTCCACTGTTCCTGCAGCTTCTGAAACAAGACCTGGAGCTCTGGTCCTTGTGATTGATTATGGTTACAGTCTATGCCCATAATCAGGAGGAGGAAATCTGTAACTATTAGGGTTAGGGTAACTATTCTTAGAGGGAGGGAAGAAACAAAAAAAGTTCACCACACTGACATTTAACTTTAGAAAGGGAAATTACAAAAAAAAAAAAAAAAAGAGGAAGTTGGTTAGAAGGTAAAAGGAGCAGCTAAGAATGTAAAAGGCCTGCAAGTAGCCTGGGAGCTGTTATAAAACATCATATTAGAGGCTCAAGAAGAGCCTCTTGATTTGCCTTTTGATTTGTGTATACGTCAAATCAAAAAGGAGTCCAATAAAAACTCAGGGTGGTTTAACAGCAGAGCTCAAGGGGCTGTCCAAAGCAAAAAGGCGTTGTTCAGCGCAAGTAGAAGGTGTGCCCAAATGAGAAATAGGGCGAAGTGCACACATGTAAAAATACAATAAGGCAAGCCAAAAAACTTGAGGAGCATCCTGTAGGGGAAATCCTGTGTCATGAGTCACCTGGGGTTCTTTGATGGTGTTTAACACCATGTGGACAAGGGGGATCCGGTTGATATACGTTGGGTTTTCAAGAAGCTTTTGTCAAGGTCCCAGACCAATGACTCTTAGAAAGCTGAGTAGGCATAGGATGGAGGGAAGGGCCTTTTGTGGATCCAAAACTGGTTAAAATAGGAAACAAAAGGTAGGGCTTAAATGGTCATTTTTCAGGATGAAGGAAAGTCAGAAGTGGGCTCCCTCAGGGCTGCGTGCTGGGCCTGGGTTTGTCTTCAGTAACCTGGAAAGCAGCGCACTGTGAAATCCCCAAGGCTGAAGGTGACAGTAGATGATTCTGGGTATTCAAATCCTGAGCTAAGGGGGAGGAGCTGCAGAAAGGTCTCACAAACCTGAGTGCGTGGGTAAAAACAAAGGGGCAAATGAAGTTCAGTGGTGACAAGTACAAAATGATGCACGTGGGGAAAAATGCATACACAGTGCTGGGCCCTCAATTAGCCTTTATGATTCAGGAAAGAGACCTTGGAGTCATTGTAGATTTGTTCTCTAAAAGCATCCTTTCAGCATGCAGTGTTAACCACGGCAGCGAATAATGTGGTGGATGCTTTTAAGAACAGAACTGAAAACAAAACAAAAAACATCATTATAGCACTTATAAATCCACAGCGCGCTCTCATTTGTGTGCAGAGTTTTCAGCCTGTGTTGACTGCTTGCTAAGTTTGACCTTCTGCTTCTTGCCCTGTGCTGGAAGACACTGATGGCATCCAAGGTTGTATCTTCATTTTCAGCCCCAGTGAGAGCAGCAAAGACCCATGTTATCCCTGAGGCTTTTCTAGACCTGGGCCAAAGCTGGAAAGCCCCTAAAGCTGGAAACCCCCTTTGCAGAAGTGAAGCCAGCCTGTGAGCAAAACAGATAGAGAGCTGGTGTTTTGCACGTTACAAAAAAGCAGTTGTGTGGGATGCCATTAATGCAGGTAGCTAAGTAAGCCTTAAAAAAGTGAAGATTTCATGTTGGAGCAAAGTGACAGTTCCCTGAGGACCAGCCCGTCTGCGCTAGTAAAGCTTTAATTGTCTGTCTTCGCTTGGATGTATTGAAGCAGCCAGACAGGTTCTGCTGACGCTGCTCCACAGAGACGGCTTAACAGAATCAAGGCAGATCTGGTGCCTCTTCTTGGAACCACATGATCTTTAATGTGGTTGTAAAGGTCAGACAAAAGATGATGCATTTAAATGCATCGTTTCCATTTGACAAAGGGCTGGTGTCAACACACAAAAATGTAGACGGGTCCCAGCTGCCCCAGGAGAACCTAGCCTCTGCTAACTTCATTTTGAAGGGGCATGTGCCCATTTCAAAGCCAAGTCTCTCTTAGAATACAAATGAAAAACAAAATCCTGCCTCTGAACCCTAATTCAACTCATGGTGGCAGCAGCTAGCCTGAGGCTCAAGAGACAGAACTCATGGGTTCTTTTCCCACCGCTGCCACGGATTTGGGAACCCTTCCTTTTAAAATGAGAATGTGATGCACACTATCTGTGAGTGTTTGGAAAGTGCTTGGAGAGCCTTAGTTAAAAGATGTTAAGAGAGTGTAAAGTCGTTATATTGAGCCGTTCTCTGTATTTGAGTTCCTTGCTTAAATCCTTGAATTTAGAAAAAGGGACTCTAGTAAAGAGTCCTAAGAGATCTCCACAGTTGCTGACACTCCTGTCCTGTCACCTGCTTTTAAATACCACTCACTAATATGCAAGTGAATTTTTCCAGAACAGGGAGTATTTCAGCCTGAATAAAGGCAACACTCCCCCACTACTGTGGGTTTAGAGCCTTAAATGTTACTCTCCTAAATACTCCCTGCAGCATCCAAGGTATTAGGGTGACAAAAAAAAGAGATTGACTTTTATTAGTAGATGTTTTGGATGGGGAATCCAGAAAAAAGATGACAAAGCTGATATGGAAATACAAAGTGCCCGAGCAAGGGACTAACAATAGAGGGATGGGGGAGAGGAGGGGAACGCAGCTAGGTTACAAGCGATACAATTACTACAGAGACTTGCAAGGCAAGAAAATTCTGGATCCAGGATTCTCGTAAGGCCCAGACCTTGTGGGCGAACACAAGTCACAGCTGGAACTTATTGCACTGACTGATTGATCCAAACTGAGGATACGATTTACGCTCACTCAATGGATCAGAACTTGGTGTTGCTGCTTTTAACACTCCTGTAAAATAAATCTGCTCTCTCCCCCTTCCCCAGCCCCATTTGTACATTGCTTTTGGCAGCAGTTCCCAACCTTGGGGTTGCAATGATAAAAAATGGAATCGCAAAGACGCTCCACCGTCTCGACCGATTATGATGAAGACGCTTCCTGTGTATAAACAAGCAACTCCTGCACATGGCAATTATTTGTCCACGCACGGGAGTTGGAGCTCCTACACAAAGCGCTTGGGATGTTATGGGAAGCTGATGTCATTTTGGGGTTGCGACAAATTTCCAGGGTTTAAATGGGGTCATGCTGAGGAGAAGGTTGGGAAGTCCTGGCTTTTGGGTTCCTCCCACAAAGTGCCAATATTGATCAGCCCGTGCTTTTGTCCGCAGGTGGAGGAGCGTCTAGCACGGAGAGACATTACCGGAGCAAAGAGGGCCTCCGATACTGCCAAAACCATCAATATCATTGCCTTGCTGATCGGGCTGGTGTGCATCGGCTTGATAATATTCTACAAGGTGCACAACGCTCAGCTGATCAAGTCCCTGGAAACCCAAACCCACAAGCCCCTCTACTAGCATCACAGCGCAGGAGTTTTGGGAAAACAAAACCACCATCGGAGCCTGTCTTTATATTCTACTCTGTGTAGGTGCTTGCGTGTTCTCTCTTTCCCCTTCCCCCAGTATATCTTATCAGTAGCCAGTAAGTCCCTTTCCACCTGGTTCCACAATAATGTATTAGTCTTATGATTCTAAGCTGCCAAGTCTTGCATAAGAAACTTCTTTCTCCTTGGCCAGTAACACTGCCAGCTTGATTTAAATACTTAAGTGCTGAGGGGGAGAAGTCAATTCCTTTCAATAGGATAGGAAGGACCACCATTGCAGAACATGGCTTCCACTGTTCTGCAATAAAAGAGGTGACTAGCAAGTGGTCCCACCCTAAGCAGCATGCAAACTTATTCTCATCTAATGGGGAACATGATTGATTAGCTAAGCACTGGGCTCTTCCATTCTTCTCCTCCTCATTTTATTAGGGCAGCAATCTTGTTTCAAGCCATTCAGCCAAGCTTACCTCAGTACTAGTACATCCCTGTTAGCCCAAGCAAAATTAATAGATCATTCAGAGGTGGGCTCAGCTGTCATAACTCCTCTGATTCCTAGACAAAATGCGATCTGTAGAAGCGTAGTTAGCTTTAGCACTTCTGCCTGAAATATGTGACAACAAGTTCCCAATGTTGCAAATAATAACTAGCTGACAGTAAGTAGGGGTGAAACAGGGCAGTGACAACCAGTTTTATAGGTCCCCGATGTATAAGTCTTTCATACAAACACAAGAAAAACCAGAGATGATGATCAAGAATTAGCAAAGCAAGTGTGGAGCCCAGCCCATCTTCCCATTTACCTTCTACAAGGCTGTGTAAGAGCATCCGACACGCTGGAAGAAGAAACTGGACTGGAAGAATGGAGTCCTGCCTTGTGCGTGGAGTGCTGATGTCCTTGCCGGTTAAAACGTACTGCTGTGGGAGAGCCAATCTTCAAATAAAGAGCTTTCTGATAGAGCTGTGATTCTGTTTTTTTATGGGTGATCAACCAGCTTTGCTTTAAAGAAAAGGCAGTTGGTGCTGGTGAAATATAATATTCTGGTTTTGCAAAGTTCAGACTCAAATATCTGCCCTCCTCCCCCCCACCACCTCAGCCCTGACCTGGCTGGCAAAGGGAAAACCTCTCCATGGTACGTGCAGTTGACTAGCTTGGCAAATGGCATTTGTTTCCATGTGTCACTGAAAAGATGCAAGTGAAGCTCTGTTGATGGTTGTCAGCAAATGTCACTAAATATTCCACTTCCCTCTGGGAGCAACCACACACCATTCATCCAGTCTATTTCTGGCCCCTCTGCACTGAGGTCCTCCAACTCACTTCATATAAGCCAGCCATCTGTAATATAGGGTGGCCGGTAGCCATGGTGCCTCCCTACCAACCTGAGCTGGAATCAGACCAGTGACAGACTGAGAGGCAAAAGGCTTGCAGTTGTGAACCATCTATACACAGATGTCCTCTACTTCCCAACAGACACTTTTCCATACAGCACTGGGTGCAGCCATGGAAGACAAAGACATACAGATATTGAGGCTGCTAGCTGGAAACAGCTACTCTATCAAGACTAAAGGCTCCAATCTCAGCTCTCTGGTTCTCCTTTGACGTCTCTGCATTTAGGTCAAACTGAGCCATTTCAACTGCACTTTGGCCTTGCCTCCCCAGATGCTTGAGCCTGATTTAAAACTGCACTTCACCTTCATGCTAGCCAGTGTGGTGGGTGCCCGTTGCTGGGTATGAAATGTTCAGTCTTGGTGATGAACAGCAAATGTGTGCCTGCCTTTGCTACTGACAGGTACAAGGGAGTAGAGGATTCAGGTCTGAAGGTATTCACCTGACTTCCTATTTGAAATGAGTTCATTTCAGTGAATTCAAGAAGACCATTGCTGCTGAGGATATTCACATCATAAAAAAGCTACAGACAAACCCAGCCATGGCTTGCTTCAGGCCTGGTGGTAGCTTCAGGCTCTTGCCTTGAGCTAGGTGGAAGAAAGGGGCTCAGTCTTCAAATTTATAAAATTGTCCGAGCACCTGCAGGCAACAGCAAACAGCTGACCCCAGCCTGCAAAGCTTGGGCCGCAAACTCCCTTGAGGTCAGGGACTTCAGGAGCTGGCACCCAAGGTGGATGTGGACTTGGCCAAAGACCTCCAGGGAGGCAGCTTCATTTCTATGGATGGCTGCAGGCAGCAGGTTGTGAGCTAGGCCTTTCCTGCCTGGTGCTGAAACAAAAAGGGGAGCAGCTGTGCAAGAAGAGGAGGTCACGCCATTCACAAGCACTGTGCTAAAATGGGGGGGCCATCCCCTGAGCAGCCATACCCAACAGGCAGCCCCTCCTGCTCTGCAGCCCTTGGCACACCACTCAGGATGCTCAAGGTCCGGCTACACAGAGCCGCTTACCAGAAATGTGGTTGTGCAACAGCCGCACATAACTACAGACGCAGCCTTCTGGAAGCTATTCCCATCTGTTTCCCCATGTAAACAAGCCTGATGGGAAAGGCAAATGGAGCTTCTCAAAGTTCATTACAATGCCCCTTTCAACCTATTGGGTCAGTGAACACTTGGCTCCTTAACCTCCACAGCCAGCTGTACACAGGCAGAGTCTTGTGCACACACCATTTACAGGCAGGGCTCTCACATCATCTGCTTTGTGCATGGTGTCCAAGAGCATTAAAAAACCACCACCCCCAGCCCTACAGAGGCAGTGGGGCAGATTGGGGCTGTGGCTGCGCTCGATACCACTGTAACAGCCAGCCTGGGGGGGTGACATCTACTTGGTGATCGCCTCTTGGAGACCTGATGAGTGACAGCCCCATGGCTGGATGAACTGCACTGGAAAACCAAAGATCGTGCCTTGGGGTGGGAAGGAACAAACCAAAGTGTTTCCCAGGGCTGCACAGCACCCTGATAGGGGAGGAAAGAAGCTCGGCTCTGGAACAAGCGCTGCACTGGATGCCAATAGTGGCAAAAGCTAAGGATATGGTAGTCATGGGGGACCTGAACTTCCCTGACGTCTGCTGGGAGGAGCAGTCGGCCAGGTCCGAGCGCTCACGTAGGTTCTTGGAGAGAGTCCAGGACCTTCATCTAACCCAGGAGGTGCACAGCCCCACCAGGGGGGATGCCTTGTTGGACTTGGTGTTGGCCACGGGCGACGACCTGGTGAGGGGGCTGCGGGTGCTTGACCCCCTGGGCGACAGTGACCACTGCCTGCTAG